ATGGATTATTCTCTATGTGGGAAACAAGATGTCTATTTGACAATATTGTTACCAAGTTTAAGGAAATAATTCCATCATTATTTACTTCAGTGCCATTTGCCAACACAGTGGAGGGAGGCCACCTTAACTTTACTCCCACACAAGTCGATAATCTTGTTGATAGCACTGCAGCCTCCCTGTGTAATACACTTGATACTGTTGCCCCTCTAAAAAGGAAGGCAGTGAAACAGAGGAGGCCCCATGGTACAGCTCGCAGCTCCGCTCCCTAAAGCAGGCATCATGAAAACTGGAAAGATAGTTTAATAAGATATAAAAGAGCCCTTCATAGAACTGCATTTTATTCATGACTGATAGAAGAAAATAAGAACAACCCCAGGTTTCTTTTCAGCACTGTAGCCAGGCTGACAAAGAGCCACAGTGCTGTTGAGCTTAACATTCCCTTAGATCTCAGCAGCAATGACTTCTTAAAAATAAAAATATAAACTATTAGAGGAAAAATTAATCAGATCCTTCCCACAACTCTCACAGACCTGCCATCAACTACAATGGCTTTAGAATCATCTGTAAGACCTCATTTATACTTGGACTAATTCTCTCCTATAGATCTCTGAGTTGACCTCAACAATTGCTTCATCTAAATCATCAACATGTCTCCTGGACCCCATCCCGACCGGGCTGCTCAAAGACGTCTCTTCCCTAATCAACACATCCATACTAGATCTGATTAACCTCTCTCTATTAACAGGATATGTTCCCCAGGCTTTTAAGGTTGCAGTAATTAAACCTCTACTCAAAAAGCCTACTTTTGACCCAGGTGTCCTAGCTAATTATAGACCAATATCCCATTTATTTCTAAAATTCTGGAATAAGCTGTTGCAAAGCAGTTATGTGACCACTTGCACAAGAATGATTTGTTTGAGGATTTTCAGTCAGGTTTTAGAGTCCATCATAGTACAGAAACTGCATTGGTGAAAGTCACCAATGACCTTCTCCTAGCCTCAGGAAGCAGCAGATGAGGCAAGGGAAAACCACATCCAGCACTGGGACTATCAGCACAGGCGACCCCCAGATATGTGTGCTCTCCCCCGCTCCTCTTCCTCTATACCAAAGACTGCACGTCAGGGTACGCCTCTGTTAAACTCCTGAAGTTTGCAGATGACATAAGGGTCATCTGTCTCAGAGTGATGAGTTGGCCTACAGATGGGAGGTTGAACAGCTGGTCCTGTGGTGTGGTTGTAACAACCTGGAGCTGAACATGCTCAAAACAGTGGAGATGACAGTGGACATTAGGAAGAATTAATTATATCCTTGGAAATATGACAACGGGCAAGTTTTAATCAAGTCAAAGTGAAATATTTGCAATATGCATAATTGTACACAATTTGTAAATTTCAGGAATAGATCACTTTAAAAACATTTTTGAAAAGTTATACATAATTGCATGGGGTACATATACAAATGAAACTTAAGATTATTGTAGCCACATTGCATGAAGTATTTAAAGTCAGCGTGTGAACTACATATTTTAGGTACAGCACAGCTACAAACCGATTACTCATAAGTTCATCCCCAAGTATTTATAAATTTGAGATTAATTCCAAATATTATATCATTATAAGTTAGACTTTTTTTTTTTAAATTGAGTTTAAGACTTAAGCCCAAGGCTTTGTTGAATTCACAGCAATCACTTAATCAAAGGTTATCACTTTTTAATGTTTCACAGAGTTTGTCATTTTCAATTAAGTGTTCTTATATTTCAGCCTGCACTTTTACCAGCAGAGTATATGTATGCTGTCATAGTGAAATGCATGCCATGTAGTTAATCCTATACCCTGGAATTGAAAGTTGTACAGCTGAGGTATTGAATTAGTGTCCCCGCTCTGTGGGTTAAACCTGCATGACAAATGATCACATGCAGGTTGAGACCTGCCCTGACATGTGGTTGAAGCACAACAACATTTTAAAAAGTCTCGTTTCACTTCTACACTAGTGCACACCGTACAGCTCTGTTAAATGTTCTCTAAATCATTTTGTTTTTTATTCTCTACGTACACAAACATAATGTCGCATCTGTTTGACCCTCCCTTAACATTGTTGGCTGTGGAGGAGTGTCTGCAGTGATTTGGGTTCTGTGCTTAGTTGAAGGCTGAGTTGATGGTTCCAGACAGGGTACTGACAGGAGTGCTCTTGCCTTTGAGAAGGGTCAGGGAGAAGATGAAGAAGCAAACACTCATAACACCAAGGATGATCACACCTGAGATGAGTGCACTTGTCACTGTGTTCATCTGAAAGACTGGAGGTTTCAGATCAGCTGAAGCAGTACAAGCACAAAGACACATTCAGTTGGTTCATTTTTCTTCCACTTTTTTGATATTTGCCTGTAAAATTCACCTTGAATAAAAAAATATACAATTAGAAAAAAAACACAATTTTTACTGGTGAGATATTTCAAGCCCAGTTACAATAGTAGCAGAAAATAATTTAGCCGTGCAAAACTACAGGAATTAAACAACATTCAACAATCAAGGAGAAAGAGAAATCCATCATCAGCACACAGATACCAATTTCTTCACTGATTTAGAGTCACGTAGACCAGAAACCAAGACATAAAACATGCTGCATTTAGAACACAAAAACACCTGCACCGTTTCTCAACTGAAAAAATTATTAATGATTAACAATAGTAAAACCTACTCCGTTTCCTTGTACTACACTTCATTGCAATTAAATGCTTTTGGTCTCCCAGTCTGTTCAATGCAAAAGATTCTGAGGACATTTCAACAGTCAGTTATTTTCAATGCGTTATGTTGTTGTGCTGCAAAATAAGTGTAAAAAGAGAATAGCAACAAGTCTGAGGGAAACGTGTAGCATACATGTCATACATGGAACATAATAGCATGCAAGATTATACGGTATGACAATTTGGAAAGTTTTTTTTTTTTAACCATTTTCAGTGGTATCCTTTCATATCATTTAAAGGCCATACCACATACTACAAGTGTAATTTCACATAACTGACAAAATGTAAAGGCTTACCCAGTTGGGAGTAGTTTGTTGTTTCATCTGTTTAAAACAAAGAACAGAGGGTAGCCCAGATAAGCTCTCACCATCAGTCAGCACCCCATTGTCAAATGCTGAGTTAGCAAAAAAAAAAGAGCTGTAGCACTTACAGCATAGTGTTTAAAAGAGTGTACTGTACAAGTGCTGTACTATGTTATTATGGTTGGTAGAAAAGGTTCTTCAGTAACAATGGTGTCAGAACGAATAGGCTATTAGTAGGAAACAGACTTTGAGGAAAGTGAATAGCAGAGAAGGAGGGACATTATGAAGCTTTACCACTCCGAGTGATAATAGGCCCAGCAGTCAGGATGGCATTTCCAGATGCTGTGTTTGATTCGCTTCCCTCTGACACATCTCTCTTTTTCCTGCTGCCACAGATCTATGAAAACAGACACGCATACAGTATTGATATGGTGGCAGAATGGAAACAGTGACTGAATAATATGACCCATTAATGCTAGCATTTAACAATGAATAAAATTCACTTCTCTTCTGGGTTATATTTTCATGTAAATTTGAAAGATGAATGCTCTGAAGCACAAACAGTGGATGTGTCTTGTTGAAGCATTATTTTTCAATACAGTAAATGTGTTATCCTCCATTTGCTCTACTCTATAAATTATTCATATTTCATGAGTTAAAATAAAAAGAAAACTGAAATAAGGGAACAGCCTAGTGTCTTTGTAGAGAGTACATCATATCAATTGAAGATAGAGAACCATAACCTGATTACCTGTTTTATCTTGCAACTGCTCTGGCCTGACTTCCTTCATAAAATTAAGCCCCAGCTACTGTTAATTAGGCCTCAGTAAAGCAGGGAACAAGACAGTCGCTCACACTGGAGAAATATAAATGCAGTGCCCTGTAATGCATCATCTGACAAATCAGATTTTTTATTAACTGGCAAAATGATCAAGTTTTACTTTGCAGCGAGATGTGTTGTAATGTGAATGTAGCTTTCGTGTCCTTGTTATTCTCACTGGCATGAGCATTGCGCAGTCATCTGCTCGACACAGCTTGGTGACACAGTGCAGGAAGATTGTGGACATCTTCTGGTTCTTGTGCTTTACAAAGCGGAATACTTCGAAGGCAAAGCGGCCTATTTGGCTTTTCCCATTCTCAAAGACAGTGGTCTGGGGGTCTTTTTCACAGCTGTTCCATGGAGAAAAAAATTAGAAAGCATTATTAAAAAGGAGAACGAGAAAAATCAAACTTGAACAAAATCACAGATTTGTTCTCAAATTTGAGTTACCTAAAGAAAAGATCATAGCGAAGGTCATCGTTGGGGTTTCCAGACGGCGTGGCGTAACAGTAGTCCATTAGGACGTTCCATCTGTTTCACATCAAGGGTTAATAAATCCAGAGTTCAGGGACTTAAATGCAAATGCAGTCATGCAGATGTAAAAGGCTACTCAGACACTTGGGTGGGATATTGCTCAGGTGAAAAGATTGTCACCCAAAAAAAAATTTGGGGTCCCTGGCAATGTGCTTTTTTATTAGTTGAAGTGTTACATATGAACTGTATACCACACACAAGTAGCCCAATAGGAAGCTGGTCAAAGTGCACAACTTTGACACAAGACACCAGGATTGCCTGTATGTAGTTTCAGTAAACAAACATAATAATTTGCTTAAGGTTAGAGAAAAACTCCTTTGGCGCAGTGTTACAGTAATAAAGTACATATCATTGTCTCCAGGTCACTTCTGACTTTTTCAGCATTCGGCTGCCTCTGGTGAAAAATGTGTTTTGGAAATTGTTCCTTCACTGTGCAGAATGACATGTGTGCATTTTAACAGTAGGAGGCAGTTTTTCCACATCTGTCTGCTGAAAGAGAAAGTTTGAACACCTGGATGTAACAGCAGGATTTCTGTGATGTTTGGAAACTGATTGTGGTGTACATTTAATTTAGATCTGGGGATGTGGTAACCTGAACCCTCCAGATCACATACTGAGAATAGACTTTAACCAAAATAGGAGAGGATCCAGAGTCTGGGAGTTAAACCTCTAAAATGAACAGTACTTTGAAATTACAATATAACATTGCACTCTCATACATTCTACTGGTACATCCACTAACAGTTTGCTCCTTGGCAAATACTGTGTGTTAACATTAACAATTTTACCTCATATTGGTAGAAAAATCTAAATGGATTTGCTATTGCAATTTAGATGTATATAAAGATCCTTTCTAGGAGACAGAGTTAGGCATGACCACAGACTGAATGTAGCTATTGCTAGTGACTAAAGAAATAAGTTGTAAGATAAAAAATGTGCCAGATTTTGTATTGTTCTCTTGTTTGCACCTTCCATTCAGACAAAGTCTCTCCCTCACCTACCACAGGCTATACTGGCAAAGACCTCACAAAGTCAAATTTGAGACTGAATTTCTAAACTGGTTCCAATCAGAGAACATCAGGGAATTTGATCAATTCTCCAGAGAGGTCAAATAAACTTAGTACATTGCCAACAGATTTCACACAATTATTCTCATTAGGTGGCAATTTTGAGACAAAGTAGGTACAAAAGCACCCTGCTGATGTCTGGAGAAAACATTAAAAAACAGTCATGAATCACATTTAGTTCATCAAGCTATGGGAAGTTATGGAAACGCTGGGGAGGCTTACACCTCTGACTCAGGTGTTTATAATTAGTAAGATAGCTCATTTTTAATAAAAAAAAATTAGGCTCAGGGTTTTGGCTATAATGTGATTTTCATATTTCACCGTCTGTATTTAAGTGACTGACAGAATTTATGCCAAATGGAAAAATGTCCAATAACAGAGTTGAGACAGGTTCAATCTAGAGTTAACACCAGATTTTCAGTTGCACACAATTTACAGCCCTGTATATTATTCTACATAGTCTGCAGGGTTGTTTTTTTTACATGGTACTTGTGCCAATCATATTCTATTAATTCCACTAAAATAATCCAGCAAGTCGAGAGCAGACAAATGTTAGTGGACAACAAAAAGAACAGCACCCTACTCTGCCTCTGTTTAGGGCTCCAGGTGTAAGTGAGCACTGTCTGCTGGTGACTCAGTCACACTGAATACCTCCTGTCCAGGTTAGTGGCTTTTACAGCTGCAAATATTCGCGTCTTCAGGGTTAGGCCTGCCATAGGGATAGGCAGCTGTTGAATGTATGATGAGTCCTGTACATAAACCACAAAAGCATTTCAGCACATTTGCTGACTCTGTTCATCATGTTCAGAATTATTTGTCCAGTAGTATCTATCATCTGGTTTCCATGGCATCCCTTTCACTAGTGTGGGGATCAAATTGACTTTAAAGTGAATTTCATGGAAGGTTTTAAATGAATTGGGGGTAAATTGAGTGTCATCTTTTCACGTTACAGAATTCGGATATCTACCTGAGCTGCATGAAGGAGTTGCTGAACTTTTGGTACATAGCTTACCCATCTTGCTCATTAATCATCATTCTCAAAAAGTGTTGCAGTTACAGATGTAAAAGGTGCAGATTAACATTAGCTGCAGAGCTTCTTATGCTCTTTGACACATGCTCACTAAGTATAGCTCCTCTGTGTAGCAAAATAGCAGGTTTGTAGACTGAACTTACATTGTAAAGCAGCAGATTCAATGTACTGATGAAAGTGCCATTGCTGTCCTTCACTGAGATTGCAGCTGCTGACCTTCAATAAACAAACAAGATCAAAGCAGTCGAAAATATGTTTAAGATGATTCCAGTAGTTTAGGTGACATTTGTAGCTTTTATAAATAAGAAAATAATCCTGTGGGCATAGATGTTCCTTTACTTTGCAATGTTCATAATGTTAATGAAGAACACATTTGCTGTTTTATCCCTCACTTCAGTTTATTGCTACTGTATATGGCTGACATACACGGGCTATATTTTTCTAAAATAGTAATTCATAATTATAATAATTTGTTTATATAGCACTTTACCACACCAAAGGGAGGCTCAAAGTGCTTCAAAACACAAACAAAACAAGATTACAGAATATAAAATCAGAAAGCCTGTAGGCACCTGTATAGCGCCAGTGCTATAAATTAAATGCCGAAAGCCAGTCAGAATAGGTGTGCCTTTAATTTAGACTTAAAAGCCGTTAATTCTGTTATAGACCGAAGCTCATGGGGCAAGGTATTCCAGAGCTTGGGGGCATATGTGGCAAAAGAACGATCACCCCACATTTTTTGTACCTTGCCTGCAGGACAACCAGAGGCAAATGCTCAGAGGAACGCAACGCTCTGACTGGGGTACGAATAGTTAAAAGATCAGACAAATAGGCTGAGGCAAAGAACACAAACAGCAAAATTTTAAAATCAAGTCTAAACTGTACCAAAAGCCAGTGAAGAGACTGGAGGACAGGGGTAATGTGAGCATACTTTGGGGTATTTGACAATAAGCGAGCAGCCACATTCTGTACTAGCTGAAGCCTACGGAGGAAAGACTGACTAATTCCAGTGTAGAGGGCATTGAAGTAATCAAGTCATGAGCTAATGAAAGCATGAATGGTTTTTTCTAGGTCGACTTGAGATAAAAAGGGCTTCACCTTTGCTAGGAGCCTCAGCTGAAAGAAGCTTATTTTGACCACAAAACTAATCTGCTTGTCAAATTTGAGGCTGCTATCAAATACCACTACTAGATTTTTCACAGTTTGAGTGAATAAAGGGGCTGAAGCTCCTAGGCGGGGTGCGATGTGAGTGGGGTCCGGACTCAAGGTGATTAGTCAGTCTTCCCCTCATTCAAATGAAGAAAGTTCTGTGTGAGCCACTGTTCAATATTACCCAAACTACTATGCAAGGGGGCTAGTGCATTGGCATCACTCTGCATCAAAGGTAAGTAGATCTGCAGATCATCGGCATAAAAATGAAAGTGTACAGCTTGGGCTCTGGAACTTTAATCCTCGAGAGAGGCTGGACTCTCCACTACTCTGGAGTTGCCCGTGGTGAGAGGCGGCAGGCTGGTGTGGGCTTGCTTATAGCCCCCCAGCTTAGCTGCCATGTGTTTGAGTTTACCCTGGTGAATGAGAGGGTCAGGGATAGGGCTCTTACTGCTGTTTGTGCCTATGGGCCGAATGGCAGTGTAGAGTACCCGGCCTTCTTGGAGTCCCTGGGAAGGGTGCTGGAAAACACTCCAACTGGGGACTCCGTTGTTGTACTGGGGGACTCACGTGGGCAGCGACAGTGACACCTGGAGGGGTGTGATTGGGAGGAACGGCCCCCCCAGTCTGAACCAGAGTGGTGTTCTGTTATTGGACTTCTGTGCTAGTCAGTTTGTCCATAACAAACACCATGTTCAAGCATAAGGGTGTCCATCAGTGCATGTGGCACCAGGACACCCTAGGCCAGAGGTTGAGGACTGATTTTGTGATCGTTTCATCTGACCTCCGGCCATATGTCTTGGACACTCGGGTGAAGAGGGGGCGGAGCACATACAGTCTCAAAGTAGTGAAATTAATTCCAACAGGTAGCGCAGTCACAACAATAACATCATGGGTCGTTAATCTGCTGGTTAATCAGCAACACATTACATGCTGCAGACACACTGGCCTCAAGCAGTCAAAACAGGTACTGTGTTCCAGGGGAATCCAGCACTGAAGAACTGATCATTCACCGCCACGGGGTGCTTCACAGGCCGGCTGCTTGTAGGTTAGACCCGGTCAGATAAAACAGCAAGTCCCTGTACAGGAACATTCCCAGACATGCAGTAAAAAATATATCCACAAAACCGGGTGCAGTTGAAAAAGGCCAAGCAGACTGCAGCCTGGGTGGATGTGGAGGCAAAAACTCAGTTCTGGGAAGAGTTCGGTAAGGCCATGCAGAGGGACTATCGGTCAGCCTCGAAGAAATTTTGGCAAACCGTCCGGTGACTCAGGAGGGGGAAGCAGTGCCCTGCCAAAACTGTTTACAGTGGAGGTGGGCAGCTGTTGACCTCAACTGGGGACATCGTCGGACGGTGGAAGGAATACTTCGAGGATCTCCTCAACCCCAGCGTCATGTCTTCAGATAAGCGGGCGCGGAGGTGGACTTGTCCATCACCCAAGCTGAAGTGACCGAGGTAGTTAAGAAGCTTCTTGGTGGCACGGCACCGGGAGTGGATGAAATCCGCCCCGAGTACCTCAAGTCTCTGGATGTTGTGGGGCTGTCTTGGCTGACACACCTCTGCAACATTGCATGGTGGGTGGGACAGGGC